AGTGCCTGGAGACGGCCTTCGGGGTGTCCGTGGAGGACCGGGGCCTGGCCATCTCGCAGAAGCTCCCGGACATTTTTGAAGCTGCTGCCGCCAAAGTGAGCGAACTGGGGAGGCTCTTCGGGGGGGGGAGGGGGGAAACCTTCTTCTTCGCTCCCCTCCCTCCCTCCCTCCCTCCCCCCCCACTGAGTGAAGGAAGACCCCGGGTGGGGCCGAGGAGGGTATGTGGGGGGGGGCAGGGCTATCTCTGGGGCCAAACCAGCCTGGGTGAAGCCGGCATCCCTGGGCAGGAAACTCTCCCTCCGGTCCTTGTCAGTTTCCAAGTTTGGGGCTGGCACTCCGATTCCCCTTTCATCATCGCCCGTCAGCTTCCCCCAAAGGAGTCTATTGGCAATTCTCAAGCAACGACTGGACTGTCCGTGAGGGGGGGGCAGTTTCCAACAGACCTAGGGATTAAATCCCAGTTTCCTTCTCTGTACAATCCCCGTGGATCTTGGGGCTTTAATGCAGGATCAGCAGCTGCTTTGAGTAAAACTGGACCCACCCCCTGTGATCCAATGGCAGCTACACTGACTTTCAAGTTGCGCCAGAGAGGATCTGGAAAACAAACTCCAGAAAGACGGGTCAAAACTCAAGGCCTGGGAGGTCACACGCCCAGGCGGCCTTATCGGTTAGAGAGCTGTAATTGTGCGGGGTGTCTCTCCTCACGCCAGGCTTTTAAAGTCTCTCGCAGGGATGAAGCCGCTTCAAAGAGTGTGTACCTGGGCCAGGTTGCTCTTTGCAATGTTTTCCGGGCCCCTGAAGACCCTAGAAAGGCAGCTGAGACCCAGGGAGGGAGAGGATGGGAAGAGGGCAGTGCAGGACTGGGGCCTCTGGAGGGGGCTGGGCAGCCATCAGCTGCTTGGGTTAGGGCCACCCTTTCCTATCTCGGTGCCCTCCAGGGCAATAGGCAGCCGTTCCCATAATCCCCGGCCAGCCGTTGCCTTTGAAGGAGACTCGTACAGACCTTTGCAGGAAAAGAAGCAGCAGGGGAGGCCATCCCAAAGCCCTTCTGGCCAGCCACTCTGACCTTGCAAGTCCTGGACTATCCAGAGCGTCCCTGACGCCCCCCCTGCTACTCCCCCCCCCGGTGCCTTCCCTTCTTCCCAACAGGAGCCCTTGCAGAGCTGCCCCATTGCTGAGCCCGCCTCTCCCTCCGAAGAGGATACGGCTGAGGCTGAAAGACTGAAAACTGAAGGTGAGCCTTTGGGTGTGTGGGTGGGTGGGGGTCTCCTGCTTGTCCTTGGCACCCAGGGAGGGTGGTGCGGGCAGCAGGGCACTCCCTCTGAGCATCCCCAGCACCTGGACAGGGAACATCAGGGCGGGGGGGGGCTGCTGGGAGGACGTCCTTGTCGGGCTCCAAAGAACAAGAAAGACACGCTGAGTGGCTTCGGAGCCGTTCCCTGCGTTGCTCCTTGCCCAGAGGCAGAAGCCTCGCCCGACTCCAGCAACTGCTTGCATCATCCTAGAATGGCCGGGGAGGGCGCCTGCCTCCTCCGCCTCACTTCCTCCGGAGCTTCTTGCTGCTGCTTTGCCCTTTGGAGTGCAAGGCCCCTCCCGGGAATCCAGACTGCATTCCGCCCCAGTCATGCTCCCATTAAAAACTGCATGGAGGGGGGAGGGCAGAGGAGCCTCCGTGGGCCCCCAATTGACTGTAGCCCAAGAGAAGCCACCATCCCTGGGGGAGGCTTGTCATCCGGCCCAGGCTGGGCTCCCTAGCAATGTCCTCTGCCTCCCTCAATGAGGAGGGGGGCTTTCCTGCGGTGCCCCCGACTGCCCAGCCAGGACAAGCAAGGCCGCAAATGGAAGAGGGGCCTTGGGAGGAAGAAAGCTGAGGGGCTGGCAGCTCTGGCACAGGTGGCAGGGGAAGGGAGGAGGCCAGGCTTCCCAGCAGTGGCCCTTCGGGTGAGACCCCCCCGGGCGAGGGACCCCCAGAGCGGCCACCAGGCAGTGTTGGAAGTGCGGCTGGGGGGGGCAGGATTGCCCTCTGGCGAAATTTAAGGCAGCTCCCCCCCCCCTCGTTTCTTCTGTCCAGGAAACGAGCAGATGAAGGTGGAGAACTTCCAAAGTGCCGTCTCGTTCTACGGAAGAGCCATCGAACTCAACCCGGCCAACGCCGTCTACTACTGCAACCGGTGAGAGGGCTCCTGCCTCAGGTCCCCCCAGCTGCGCTTGCTCCGGGAGCCCGATGGGAACGGCTGCCTGAAATGGGGGAGGGGGGAGAGCGCCCAGGGGGGGAAAGAAAAAAAGCCCCACCCTTGCTCGTGGGTGCCGAAGCAGGGGGGGCCCGGGGCCGCTTGGGGCCCAGCTGGAGAGCCTCTCCCAAAGAGCCCCCTCTCCCCCCCCCTCAGGGCTGCTGCTTACAGCAAACTCGGAAACTACGCCGGGGCAGTGAGGGACTGCGAGAGAGCCATCAACATCGACCCCAAGTACAGCAAAGCCTACGGCCGGATGGGGTGCGTGGGTCCCAGCGCTGCCCTCGGGCCTGGTGGGGGTGGGGAGAACCTGGGGCTTCAGAGGAAGAAGAAAGGTGCCTGCCCCTCCTGGGAGAACCCCCCTCCTTCAGAGGCCGTGGGGAGCCCCTCCCGCCCCCCTCCTTTCGTGCTGTCCGTGCGTGGGGGAAGGGTGGGCTGTGGCTCCACGGGCGAGAGAGCGAAGACGGCCCCGGATGAATCGGGCGCAGAGTGTTTCTCTCTGGCTTCCCAGAAGGGGCGTCGTGTGGCTCGGTGCCCCTTTCCTCGGGAGTGGCCGCCCCTCCCCTCACTCCCCCCCCCACCCCGTGTCCTCTGCAGTTTGGCCCTGTCCAGCCTCAACAAGCTCTCGGAGGCCGTCTTCTACTACCGGAAGGCGCTGGAGCTGGACCCAGAGAACGAGACCTACAAGTCCAACCTGAAAGTCACCGAGCAGAAGATGAAGGAGGCCCCGAGCCCGGTGAGCGGCCAGCTGGCTGGCTGGAGAAGACCCTGGGGCATCAGGGGGGGCGGGGGGCAGCCTCTCTGCCCTCAGGCGCCTGGCAGGGGGCTGTGCTGACGCCACTTTCCCACGTTTCCCCACAGACGGGGGGCGCCGGAGGGTTTGACCTGGCTGGGTTGCTCAACAACCCCGGCTTCATGAGCATGGTGAGTGCGGGGCCGGAGGGGCTGTGCTTTGCTGGGGGGGGAGGGTGTCCGTGGGTGCGCTTGTTGGTCTTCAGCTGCCCAGGTGGCTGGGGGCTGCGAGGGTCAGTCAACCGGCCTCTCCGTGGCCCCGGTTGTCTCCAGGGGCCAGTTCCCCCAGGTGCTTCTTGCCTTGGCAGAGGGTTGTGGGGAGGGCGGTTCCCCTCATCTCGGGGGCAGCCTAGGAAGGCCGGCCAGGCTCCAGGGCTGCTCCGGATGGTTCATCCTTTCTCTCCCTCCACAGGCCTCCAACCTGATGAACAACCCACAGGTGCAGCAGCTGTGAGTGTGCAGGGGGGGTGGCGGGCCTTCCCGCCCTTCCGGAAGGATCTGCTCTGGGGAGGGGCGGTCCGAGGGCTGCGCTTGAACAGCCGGCCCCAAAGGCTCAGACGGAGCTGGGGAAAGGGGCCCTGGCTGAAATCCACGAGGACACCTTTTAATTTAGTGCTTTCTGTATAAAGAAATGTTTCCTTAAAAAGCCAGGGATCTTGGTTAAGCTGGGATTTGATTTTGGTTTAGTGTGTCCCATGGACCCTTTTGCTCTGCTGTGCCAACCCTGGTTTCCTGGCAGGCCAGCCAAAACCGAGCTTTCATTAAAATGGCCGCTTTTACTGAAGAAGGGGCACTCCCCCAAATGGAGAGGCCGGGAGCCAGTAACTGCGGCCCTGGGAGGGAGGGGAGGGTCCGCCCCAGGTGTCCATGGGGTGGGAGGGAGCCTTTCCTGGGTGAGATTTGACTTGAGCAATCCAGCCTGGGGCTTCCGGTTGGGAGATGGGTGGGTTCTTGGGAATCTTCTCCCCCCCCCCCCAGCCTTTCCAGAGGCCCTGTGCCAGGTGAAAGCACTTCCCACCCCGGGGTGGGATTGCTTAGCGACCCCTTTCAGAGCCATGGCTGGGACCCTGCTGGGGCGCCTCTCCCTGGCCATGTGACCCACACGGAGGGTCATGGGTCCCCCCCTCCCCTTTGCAGGATGTCCGGGATGATCTCGAGCAGCCAGAGTCCCGTGGCCGCCCCAGGAGCCAGCACGGCCCCCCACGACCTCGCCAGTCTCATCCAAGCGTGAGTAGTAGACGGGGCCGCTCCCTTCCCCCCAACACCCCCGTCCGTTCCTTCAGACGCAGGAAAGTAGCAGTCGGCTCGGCCCCCTTCCTGGCTCCCCTGGCCTCCTTCCCCTTGCGACCCCTCCTCGCCCAGCCCCATGGGAGATTTCCCCACAAGCCACTCCTGGCCTGCTGGTCAGTACTGGTCATCCTTTCCAAATGATCCCTCGGCCCATTCCTCTCCTAGCTGGGGTCCTAAAAAGTGGGGGGGGGGCACAGCAGAGCCCTTCCTGCCTGGCAAGTCCTGAATAAGCTGGGAAAGCCTGCCGGCCCTCCAGTGGGACACGGGTCCCCCTGTCCTTCTGCTCGGACTCTCGTGGGCCCCTCGCCCTTCCCGTGAGGGCAGTCCGCATCCAGCTTTCCGGGAGGGGCGGATCTTCTGTTATGCCCCCCCTTCCACACACACACACACACACACACACACCGGGTCTTTTGGTCCCAAGGCTGAACCAGCTCTTCCGCTGCTCCTCATAGGACTTTGTTTCCCGTCCCCGGGTCTCGGTTCTTGCCCTTTGCTGAGCCGGCCTCTTGTCGGCTTGACTCCTGAACGCGGCCCGATTCTTGAGGTGGGGTCCGAGCAAGGACCGGTAGGGCGGAACGGTGGCTTCCTGCGATGATGACAGCACAAGGGTAGGCAACCTTGGCTCTTTTATGACTCGTGGCTCTGCTGGCTCAGGAATTCTGGCAGTTGAAGTCCACGAGTCATAAAAGAGCCAAGGTTGCCTACCCCTGACTTAGCAGTTACACTCCCACTGCAGCTACGGCCTGACACCCTGCTTGTCTCATTTACGGCCACGTTGCTCTGCTGGCTCCTGCGCCATTTGTGATCGGAGTAGCTCCCTCTGTCAGAGCCCTCCCCCCCGAGGCCTCCTGTGGGCCCAATCCGTCCCTTAGGCAGAGGGCTCTCCACTTCAGTTTCTTTCTCTACCTTTTGCCCGATTTATCTTGCCTGTCGAGGTAGCTTTGCATTTCATTCCTACCGTCTGCAGCTGCCCACCCGTTTGTGTGTCATCAGCAGATCTATGAAGGACTGGATTTTGTTACTCCTCCTGCCTCTCCCTCTCCCCCCCCCCCACACCCTGTCTCTCCCCAGCTTGAAGGGAAGAGGAGTGATTGCAAGGTAGCTTCTGAGTAGCTTTTGAGCCGGCTCTGTATCCACCTGGTCACTGTGCTGTCCAGTAGGAGTGTCCCCTGGATCACACCCACAATCGAGGGTTAACGTGACCGTTTTCTCTCCTGTGGCGGTCCAGGGGCCAGCAGTTCGCTCAGCAGATGCAGCAGCAGAATCCGGAGCTGATAGAGCAGCTGCGCAGCCAGATCCGGAGCCGGACCCCCAGCGCCAGCAACGAAGAGCAGCAGGAATGAGGCAGCTGCCGGTGAGCTGGGGGGGGGGCATCTGTGTCTCTCTGCTAGGGACCGTCTGGATGACCTTGAGGAAAGGGAGCTTGGCAAACTTAGGAAGGACTCACGCTAATTGATCCCAAGCGGTTAAAAGGCCCAGTGGGAGATTTTACACTTGCTAGATTCAGGTCAGCCCCCCCCCCCTCCGGATACATCAGACAGGAAATACAACTAGCTGAATCTGCTTGACGTGTGGGCTGCGTTAACAAAATCCTGCATGTCTGAAGGCACAAACTTCTCCCTGCATCTTTTGACTGCATGACCCACTAGGGCTGGTCTCTCCTGCGTTTCTTCCGACTGATGCTAGATTTTGGGCACCCCTGCTTCTTTTATCGGCAGATTTCTTCCTAGGCAGCATCTCTCCCCCCACCCCCAATCTCTAGGGTCATTCCCACGTTACACTTGCTTCCCCTCCCCGTGGCATTTTGTGAGTGGTTTGCAGCACACCCAAAGGGTGGGGGGGGGAAGCGCAGGGATCCAGAGAGGGCCAGCGGCTACAGTGCGTCCCTCGCTGTGGGAAACCCACGGAAGAACTCTGGGGAGAGACCCCCAATCTGCCCCCATGAAGTTGAAGACCGTCCCATGGGAGGAAGAGGGCCAAGGAAAGAGGCCTTGAGGCACGGAGTGGAGAGGCTGGCAGGGAGGCCCTGGTCAGAGGCTCCACAGCTGCAGTGGCCGGTGGTTTTCCTGGGCCCGTTTGCAGAGCTCCTGCCAAGTGAATGGAGGCCAGGAGCAGGGGGGGGGGCTGCTAAAGGCCCCGTTGCCGAACTCAGGGCAGGAACGCAAAGGGAAGCCTCCTTGGCGCATGGTAGTCTGTCCGAGGTGGGGGAGCCCAGCCCTGTCCTCGGGAGAAGCACCAAGGCAGGGAAGCCCTCCGCTCCTGGCCATGATGTGCTTATGTTCGTCTCCTTCTTTCAGGACTCCGCTCCTGGCCAGGAAGACCCCCTTTGCCCCAGGGGAAGGACCAGCTGAAGAGCCTCCGAGCTGCTGCCGCTGCCAGCCATCCCTCCCTTGGAAAAGCCCACAAGGAACGGGGCGGGGGGGGGGGAACCGAGCCTGATCCGATCTGCATGTTAGAGACTGTTTTGCGTAGCCTCCCTGCCTGCTTCCTCCCCGCCTCGCCCCTGCGTGGACTTTGCCAGGGGGAGCGGAAGAGTTACTGACCGCAGACCAGCACCTCCCGCCACCCTGGACCTTCGGAGGCAAGCTGTGGGCAAGCGCTGGGGCCGGCAATGCCACGCCTTTCCTGTTGCTCAGAAGAACACACACCCCCCGAGACTGTGCCATCCTCCAGCAGGGAGAGCCGCCTTTTCTAAACTGGGATTTCCTGCTCGTCACCATTGCTGGATCCCGGCACACCGAGGCTGGATGGCCCCCCTCTTGGGGAGAGGCCCAGTTAACTGGCTGGGAGGGGCAGCTGGTGGGACTGGCACCGGTGCCCGGGGAAGATGGGAGGACGTCTCCTGTGCTTTTCAGTAGGACGTTTTTAAGGATCGTGGCTAGTCTGCTGTCACTTTTCTGGGGGCGGGGGGGGGGGACGTGGCTTTCTTTCTTTCTTTCTTTGGGTCGGGGTCTGGGGAACTTGCCTGGCTGGACTGGCTTAACAGGGCACTCCCTGCCCAGCATGAAGGGTGGCAGGGGGACTCGGCTGCCTACCCGGGATTGGGCCAAACCGGGCAGCTCCTTCCTCAAGTGCTCTCCTTGTGGCCAGGACTCCCCTCGGCCTCTGGTGTCCAGAGCATGGCTCTCGCCCCTCGAGGTGCCACCCAGAGGGGTAGTTGAACCTGTTGAATCTCCCAGATCCCCTCCAGCCAGTAGGATGGACCAGATGGCAGCCCAAGGACCTTGGGGGAGGAGGGTCACCTGCCCTCAGCACCACCTGCCAGAAGCCCCCTGGAGACTGGCCTCCCCCTGTGTTAGCCAGGGGGCCCTTTCCTGGCCGGCCAGGGGCACTGGAGAGAAGAGCGATGGGCCCAGG